TTTTTTTTTTTTTAAACTATTAAACTTTTACTTTTCCAAGCATTCTGCAAGGTGCAGAAGCTGAGTCTGGCAGAGGAAGCGAGTAAACAAAAAATGTAGGAAGCTGGTATTATAATCTTATTTGTTGTTGTTAAGCGCCTTCGAGTCAGTTCCGAATCATCGCGACCTGGTATAGTTTTCCAAGAGCAGCTGGTGAGCTTGAACCACCAACCCTCCAGTTCAAACCAACTTTGCAGTCTAGCGCACTAACCCACAGCACCACACCAGGACTCCTATAATTGTATACCCAGCATCTATTCTGACTCATGTCAACCCTGCACGTGTCAGAGGAGAACTGTGCTCTTGGGTATTTTTCTAGATATAGTCTACAAGTGGGCTTCAAAAACTTGGTGGAAAAATGAGATTCAAGATCATGGAATTTTGTCACCACAAAACCACAGAAGCAAAAACACCAGAGGAAGTTCCATTTTTCTTACACTCACAATTGATGACATTCCCATTTTGCATTTCCCACCGGACAGCCTGTTTGGGAAATCAGTCCCCCAGCACCTGGGGACTACTTCATTCGTAACAGCTGCATAAGATTCCACTTCGCCCAAGCTTGTTGCCATTCATTTGCCCATAAAAAGCCGCTGCAGGGAGCCACCTAATCCTAGTCTTGTGCACGTGTGTGAATATCCAGACTAACTGTCCAGAAGTTGACTTTCTGGGCCAAGAAATGTTCATTTTTAACTCAACCATCAATCACCAAAAGCCCTTCCAAGGAGACACATCATCCACGTCCCACAGTGCCTGCTTTTTCACATCCTCTCCAGAATTAGATGTTATTGAATTTTTGGACTTTTTTTTTCTGGCCAATCTGATGTTGTTGTTGTTGTTGTTATGTGCCATGCAGTCGGTTCTGACTCATAGCGACCCTGTACAGGGTTTCCAAGGCTGTAAATATTTACGGGAGCAGAAAGCTTCATCTTTCTCCCACGGAACAGCTGGTAGTTTCGAACTGGTGACCTTGTGGTTTGCAGCCCGATTCGTAACCACTACGCTACCAGAGCTCATCTGATAGGTATCTCTAATTTAATCCCATGATAATATGGTATTACCTTAAAAAAAACGTGATGGGGTATGAAACACATTTGGTGAGGTGCACAATGGCGGATTAAGCTGTTACATGAGTCTACCATGTACACAGCTCCTAGACTGGGGTCGGCAAACCTCATCCCACAGGCCAAATGCACAATCCTACACTTGTTTTCATACATACAGCCTGCGAGCTAAGGATGAGTTTCACATTTTAAAGTAGCAGTAAAACAACCAACATAAGGAGAATAATATTTCTTGACATTTAATATGATATGAACTTCCCACTGTAGTATTCATTACAGTCTCTGGTGGTACAGGTAAGGCAATGTGCTCAGCCGTGAATTGAAAGGACAGAGGTTCGAGTCAACCCCGAAGTGCTTTGGCAAAAAAGCCTGGTGATCTACTTCCGAAAAAAATCAGCCCTTGGAAACCCTACGAAGCACACTTCTACCCTGGTCCACACAGCGTCACCACCCGTCAGTCAAAATCGACTTGACAGCTACTGGTAATACAGCTTTACTGGAACCCAGCCTCATCCATTTGGTTATATGTCTGTCTGTGGCTGTTTTTGTGCTATAAGAGCAGAGACTGTCTGGCCCACAGAGCCAAAAATATTGACAAGCTGACCCTTTACAGAAAACATTTGCCAACCTGTGACCTAGATCAAGATGAAGAACATTCCATCAGCTAATAGGCTCCCTCGTGTCCCTTCTCTGTCAATACCCACCATCCAGAGGTAACCACTAGCTGGACTTCTGTTATCAACGTGAGTTTTAAACATGCTTATTTGGCAGTGCGCTGAGGCACAAAGAGGTGAAACTGTTTGCTATGGGTCACACAGCAGGGTTGGAAATTCAGTGACCTTTGTTACTGAGTTCACAGTTCTGCCAGAGCTGTGCTGTGTGGTCTGGGGAAGTTACTAGTGGTCTCTGGGCCTTCAGTTGGGAAGAAGCCAGGAACAGAGCCACCCCACCCCAGCTGCTACCCACAGGAAGGAGGCAGGGGATGCTCACCAGGCTGGATGGGCTGGAAGGAGGCTCCAATGGACTCTTCTGGGGTGAGCTGTCGGAGTGGGACCCAAGACGCAGCTTCTCTACAGAGATGTCACTGCTGCAGAGGGAAAGGGCGTGTCTGGGACCCAGCACCCTGGTAAGCAGCAAGGGGCAGCCAGGACCCCAGGGTCCTCCTGCTTACCCTGTGGACCGGGCCTCAGGTCCTGGTGAAGCCCCTGGACTGAAGGTGGCCGTGGCTGTGGCATTGGGGATGAACCTCCGAAGCAACCGTACCCACGTGGCAACGTCAATGTTCATCTGCCTGGCGCGCTGAAATGCCTTCCCTGAAGGGAAGGGGCAGGTGTCACTGGACATGACACTGCCCAGGACCCCAGGCCTCACCCAACCTGGCTCAGACCCTCACCCTGCTGCTTGGAGAAAATTTTCTTCTGCCTTCGGAGCCTCGGGATCCTCTCAATGACAGGGTTCCGGAAGGTGACCTGCAGGGAAAGGGAAAGGTGAGGACTCCTCACCATGCGAATCTGGGCAGTTCAGGGAGGAAGATTTTAGGAGGAGAGGTGTGTGCATCCAAACCTCCAGGCAGTTCATACTACTGTGGCATCACAACCAATCCCAGAGTACCATGGGACAATAATGTTGTTGTTAAGTGCCATCGAGTCAGTTCTGACCCATAGCGACCCTGTATAGGGTTTCCGAGGAGCAGCTGGTGAGCTTGAACCGCCAACCTTGTGGTTCAAACCAACTTTGCAGTCCAGCACATTAACCCACAGTGCCACACCAGGACTCCATGGGACATTATTAAGGGGCCAAAAACCAATCCACTGCCAGTGGGCAACTGCCTGAGGTGCCTGCCATATTACAAAGGCACCAGGGAGGAATCTGATCCACCAAGATGGACTCGATCCTACAGTAGCTAGTGCTGTGCCTCTCCAGCATCAGCATCAGCATCACCTGGGAACGCATTCACAATGCTTTCTCGGCCCCCACCTCAACCTCAACCGACCGATCAGAAACGCTGAAGGGGGCTGTGGTTGGGGTTTTGGTGATCTGTTTCAACAACTCCTCCAGGTGAGGCTAGTGGCCACTCACATTTGGAAGCCACTGATCTGGTTTATTTTCCCAAACTCAAATACATTCTGTTAACTGTTGTTGTTAAGTGCTACTGTGTCAATTCTGACTCATAGCGACCCTGTATAGGGTTTCCAAAGAGCAGCTGATGAGCATGAAGTGCCGATCTTGTGGTTCAAACCGACCCTGCGGTCCAGCGCATTAACCCACAGCGCCACACCAGGCCTCCCAAACATATCCTTCTTGTTGTTAAGTGCCAACCAGTTGGTTCCGACCCATAGCGACCGCTGTATAAGATTTCCAAGTAGCGGCTGGTAAATTTGAACTGCTGACCCTGTGGTTCAAACCAACTTTGCAGTCCAGCACATTAACCCACAGTGCCACACCAGGGCTCCCAAACATATTCTAGAAGGTACTAAAATTACATAACTGCAGTGTTCAATACTGTCTCTATTAGCCACATGTGGTCATTTAAATTTTGAAAAATTATATTAAGTAGAATCAATGTCTCTCCTAAACTGTTGTTGTTGTTGTTGTTAGCTGCCATCAAGTCGGTTCCGAGTCATGTCAATGCTGTATGCAACAAAACGAGACCCTGGCCTGTTGTGTGCTATACTTACAATCGCTGCTAGGTTTGAGCCTTTATTGCAGCTACTGTGTCGTTTATCTCATTGAGGGTCTTCTGACCCTCTATTTTATCAAGCATGGTTTCCTTCTTTAGAGACTGGTCCCTCCTGATAATATGTCCAAAGAACGTGAGGCAGAATCTTGCTGTTCTCCCTTCTAAGGAGTATTCTGGCTGCACTTCTTCCAAGACAGGTTTATTTCTTTTTCTGGCAGTCTATGGTATAAACAAATCTGTGTTGGAAGACGTACAACCAGAATGCTCCTTAGAAGCCAGGATGGCCAGACTTCATCCTTCATATTTCGGACATATCTCCAGGGACCAGTCTCTGGAGAAAGACATCATGTTTGGCAAAGTGGAGGGTCCAAGAAAAAACAGAAGACCCCCAATGAGATGGATTGGCACAGTAGAAGCAGCAATGGGCTCACACATAGCAACGACTGTGAGGCTGGCACAGGACCAGGCAGTGTATTGTTTTGTTGTGCATCAGGTCGCTTTGAGTTGGTACTGATTCAACGGCACCTAACAACAACAACGTGGACTATTTAGTATTCTTTGCCAACACCATAATTCAAATGCTCCCAGTCTTCGTCAGTCTTTCTTATTCAGTGTCCAGCAAATTTAAAGAATTTTATTAAGTAAAATTGTAACTCCAGTGTTCTCCACTGAATTAGACAGCACTTTAGTAGAGACATAAGAATAAAAGAAGATACTAATGGGCCAGGAGGAATGCTTCCAAATTTGTCCTCAGTCACCTACTGCCATTCACCACTTGCTTTTGGAGAGTTTTCTCAATGAAAGAATCATTTCATTACCCTACCAAGTGAAGTCAGAACTTTCTCTCTATTCATCTTTCTTTCAGTGATCCTCAATTATTGACTCATGTAAGAAGTTTTACATAGGGGTAGGAATAAAAGAAGATATACAAAATGGGGCACACATGTATGAAAGGGGCAAATGTAAAGAACTTTCTAGAATGTCTGTAAAGCATTTAGAATAGGGCCTGTGCTATAAAGGGTTAACTGACAGTATTATCATTAAATATTATTATTATCAACATTATTTAGACCAGGGGTCCTCAACTAGGAGACATTTTTTTTGCAATGTCTGGAGACTTTTTTTTGTTGTTATTACTGGGGAGAGTGGGATGCGACTGTCATCTAATGAGTGAAGGACAGGATGCTGCTAACTACTCTACATGCACAGGACACATTCCACCACAGACACTGCGCAGCCCCAAACGTCCATAGCACTGGAGCTGGGACATTTTGATTTAATCCCAACGCCACTGCAGAAGAATCCTTCTGTACCTAACTGCAGTTCTGGTGACAATGATACAACATGACATAACATTCATTTTTGCTTTGTTCTTGTTTGTTTCTTCTGACTTGGTAAAACTGTGTGTTTTTTAAAAATATTCTACGTCAACAAAATCAACCATAGCTAAAGTCATGTCACTAATATGACAAGTTATATGTACTCTTCTATCAAAGTGCAGAGACCAACTAAAAAAAACATCATCCCCTTCCAGAAACTGGGGGTACAAAGGAAGGAAGCATTTTCGTCTGAGTCAGGGCTATACCTCAGCCACAAGGCAGCCCTGGGATTCTTTGTGTCTTGGGGGTTAGGGGTCAGGGCTTGGAGCTGTACCTCAGCCAACAGGCAGCCCTGAGGTTCCATGTCCAGCTGTACTTCATGTCTCTCATTGTCCAAGAAATCCTCCAACTTCAGGAATTTGAGGGCACACAAGCCCCGCTGGTCACGCCAGAACACAGCCAACTCCAATTCCCGTGCCTGAGGGAGAGGGAGAGGGCTGTCACTTGGGGTGTCTAAGGCCCAGAAGCCCTCCTCCTGTAAGCCTTGTTGTCCCCATCTCAGCTTACCCTCTCCAGCTCCAGGGTAAAGCTCTGGTCCCAGGCACTGGGACCACATGGCTTCCAGGACGTCTGTCCCACCACCGTGTTATCAAGCTTCAGTACAGTGCTGACATCACCTGTAGAGGGAAGGGGGCATCAACAAATTCTGGGAACGGTCCTTGTTAAAAAATGTGGGGAGTGGGGGTTCTTGCCTACAGAGATTTCCCTACTTCCCTGATAACACCGGCTGTGATATCTGCTCAAAGTTTTGTCCTTTTTTCCAGTTGATTTTTGTGTGTGGTATGAAGTAGGGATCCAAACTAATTTTTATTTTACATGAAATTCCAATAATATACTCCTAAGTAGTTACCCTAGAAAAATGATGTAAGTCTACAGCAAGAGACACACATATACACAATGTTTATGTTCTGTGCTGTGGAGTCGATTCCGACTGTGTAGGGTTTTCGAGGCTGTAAATCCTTATGGGAGCAGAAAGCCTCATCTTTCTCCCATGGAACAGCTGGTTGTTTCAAACCTTGAGGTCAGCAGCCTGATTCATAATCGCTATGCTGCCAGAGCTCCTTAATGCTTACATAGTAGCTCCAATCTAGAAACATCCAACAGACCATTAACACGTGAACTAATATACAAATTGTGGTATAGTCTTATTACACTGAATCAACTATGAAACTGATGATTTAACTATTTTTAAATTGTTAAAGTACTCAACAGTTTGATATGGCTCAATCTAACACAGGAGCTACTCAAACAGCAAGAACACTGAATGAGTGATGGCTGCATTCAACGATAAGGGTGAGTTTCCCAAATACCAATGAATGAAAGCAATACATTCTGCATCACTCCATCTATACAAAGTTCAAACGCCAGGCAAAATTAAACTTATATGCGTAGTGTTCTGAGAAGCATACACAGAGCAAAAATAATCCAGAAAAGCAAGGGAATGAGAATTTTAAGTCAAGAGAGAAGCTTCTTCTAGAACAGAGTTGAGGAATTGGTACTAAGGGCTTCTACGGAGTTGGCAATGTTCTATTTCTTGTTATTCTTTTTTATGTACATTTTTGACTATACGCATTAGCTTTTGAAGTGTTACAAATGTGGGGTAGCCCAGGCCACCCCACAACACATTCCATCTCAATCCTCTGGGCTCCGTGACGCTCCACTCGCCTGCATTTTCAGCTTCCGCTTTGAGGCTGCTCCGACCACTAAGACTTCCGCTCCGGCTGTAAAGCCCCCGGGTTTGGCGGCTCAGGAAGAGGGTCCGGCTGTCAGAAGTCCCAGAGCCCATGGCTGAGGGCGAGGGGTTCCAGGGGATGGTCTCTGGGAGGTCTCTGCAGCCCACCACACGCACCTCCAGTGTCCCTGTGGGAGGGGCAGGCTCAGTGGGGGCTGCATCTGGGGCAGGCCAGGGGAAGTGCAGGCAAAGTAAACACGTCCAAAATGGGGAGTGGGGGGGTGGGGGTGGGATTGGGAAGGGGTCTGAGACATGGATGGCTGTGTCCCAGGCCAGAAATGTGGAACAAGAGACCTCAGTGCTCAGGTTGTGGCAGTCCGGGCTTGGGAGGGAGGGGTGCTGGATACTGGGGTGTAGGGACACCAGAGGTCCTGGACAGGTAGAGCCGAGTAGAACTGGTGGAAGTTAAGGTAGGACTGGGCATACTGGTCTGGTCAGAGGGGTGAGGCTGGCTGGACTGGGGGCTCAGAAGTTTGGGTTCAATGGCTACAGCTGATGTTCTGGGCTAAGAAACTGGGGCTGAAGGGCACAAGACAGGGTCAGGTTGGGGTGCCAGGTGAGGAGGACTGGAGTGGAACAAGGACAAGAGCCGAAATCCAGAACTAGAGGACAAGGTGGGCTGAAGATTCCAGGGTGTGTGTGTGGGTCCCTGTCCGGGAGAGTGGTGACCTAGGGCTGTGGATGGGAGGGTCCCAGATGCAATATAGTGTCCTGGTGCTGGGAGGCCCTTATGACAAGAGCTGGGGGTACAGGAATCTGCTGGGAGGTGCATCTAGAGCTGCAGGGGTCGGGGCCCACCTGTGAGCGGTGCTGGCTTGCACAAGGTGCTGTAGTACGTGGCGGGGAAGGGCCCGGCCAGGCGGACGCTGAAGGAGGTGGATGAAGCCGCAGCCAGCTCCTCGCGCAGCAGCCTTCCCTTGGGGTGGTCGGCTGGCAGCTCGGCGAGACGCCGCTCCAGCGCCTCCCGCAGCAGCCCCAGCTTCTGGTTGGATTCGGTAAGCTTCTCCTGGGCCTGCAGCAAGGAGGTCGGGCTGGGAGGCAGTCGAGCTGGGGGTGCAGGGGGACCTACCCCCTAGTGTAAACCCAGGTTCTGCTCCAGAATGTTTAACTCTCATCCTAGGCTCCTTCTCTCTAGAAGCCTGGATCCCAAACTATCTTGGCTCTAATCCAGGGCTCCTCCAAGGATCGGCCTCAACCCTCGCTGAGGCCCCTCCCAGTCAGAGCCCTCTTACAACTGCCTGGCCCAGGCTTAGGTCCCTGCACAAGCCCAGGTCCCATCACTCAGAAAACATCCTTTGCCAAGGTCCGGCCAGTTGAGGAGCTGCCCCCATCACTGGGCCTTACCACTAATAGCATACCGCCTCTTGGTTACGCTCCACCCCAGACAAGGCCAGTACAGTTTTGGTCCCACAGGCCCCACCCCTTTGCTTAGGCCCCACCCCTGCGAAGGCCCCACCTCTCACCTCGCTGACCGCCTTGCGGTCTGGCGTCTTGGCTGCACTGAGGAGGCGCAGCACATTCTTTGCGCCTTCGGCCACCGCATGCTCGACTCGGAAGTGGTGCCTCAGCTCCTCAATGCGCAGCTCCACAGCCCCGAGGTCTGGACCCCCTGCAGAAACAGGGCGGTGAAGCAAATTAGCAGATTCGGATCAACTAACACAAAGTGTACACAGGCAGCCTCTGGCAGGACCAGGTACACGTCCCACCACCCTTCCCACCCTCCCCGGGGAATGGGAACACCATCACCACTGTCACACAGATCTAGGCCTGCCACCTGAATGCAGAGGAGCACTGCCATAGGTCAGCCCACACCATCACAACACACCAACACCTCTGTGTCTGGGCACTGGGCCCAGAAGAGGGACCAGTTACACTATGGCACAAATGCTCAGGGCTCTAACCCCAACCAGGGAGAGTCCTAGGCACCTAATCACGCTGCCACATGGATGAGGCTCCTGGACAAGCAAAGAAATGTCATTACACTGCCACACAGGCTAGTACCCACAAGTCCAGAGACTCTAGGTCACAGAACAACAGGCTGGCAGCACACACAGCCTGAAGTCACAGATTGGCACAAGACACCATGTCACACAGATAGAGGGAAATCAGCAGCCACAGGCCCAAGGTTGTGGTCACACCCATGGCTGTAAGTGACTGGGACGACCTCCCAAGCTCACACGGGGGCACACAGTCACACTATCACCACAGGCATGTGGTGCTCACAGTGCACAGACAGTCACACGAACCCTGATATTCATGGGTACAGTGTCTTATGAACAGTCACACTGTCACCCCAGACCTGCTGTCACACAGCACTCACGCAACCAGACTCTTACATGGACAGAGACAGAGTCACACTGTCACTCACGAGTACTATGTTATCCAGAGCCACTGAAACACAACTATGCCATCACAAACCCACATAGATTCATGGTACCATTGAGTCAGTTCTGACTCATAATGACCCTTGGTGCAACAGAAGAAAACACTGCAGTTCTGCAACATCCTCACCTGCATGAACCCATTGTTACAGCCCAGCTCATTAAGGGTCTTCTGCTTTTACACTAACCCTCAATTTTACCAAACATAATGTCCTTTGCCAGGGGACTGCTCCTGCCTGATAAATAACATGTCTAAAGCTCCTCAGAGGATGTCCAATGTCCAGCTCTAGCATACATACAGATAACTTATAGTCTACATTTCACAGGTTCACAGATGAAGAGGAATTCTGCCCCAGAGTGCAATGAAAACCCCTAACGTCTCACCCATACTTGATTTAGATGATCCAGAAGATAAGATTTTGGACCTGGAATTGATTGAAAACTTTTGAGATGATGAGATGGGGTAAATGTGTATTGTACATGGGAAGAACATGAATCTGGGGGGGACAAGGGGTAGAATATTGTGGATTGAATTGTGTCCCCACCAAAATATGAGTTATAATTCCTCTATGCCTGTGGTTATAATCCCATTAGGGAATGAGTTGTTTTGTTATGTTAATGAAACAGGATTTTTCTAGAATATGTTTTAAATCAATCCCTTAAGACATAAAAGAGATTTATGCAAGCTAGGAACAGAGATGGAGCAAGACAGTTACCAAGTCGCATAAAGACGTCCAAGGAACCAGCTCTGATTTCGTAAATCTAGCCTCCTAAACTGTGAGCCAACGAAGCCATCCACTTGTGGTATGTCTGCTTAGCGGTATTAGATAACAAAATCAGGGTATAAATTTGATATTAACGGGTCTTCCTTCTTGTTGTTGTGTGGTCCCGCCAAATTGATTCTGACTCATAGTGACCCTCTACACAACACAACGCAACACTGTCTGGTCCTACAGCATCCTCACAACTGTTACACTTGAGTTCACTGCTGCTGCCACTGTGCCAATTCCTCTCAATGGGGATATTTCTCTTTTCTGCTGACCCTGCACTTTACCAAGCATAGTGTCCTTCTCCAGGGACTGGGCCCTTGTGATAATATGTCTGAAGTATGGGAGATGACGTCTCACCATGCTTGCTTCTAAGGTGCATTCTGGCTGGTCTTTATGTTATTGTTGTTAAGTGCCATCAAGTTAGTTGTGACTCATAGTGACCCAGTATAGGCTTTCCAAGGCTTTAAATCTTTGAGAGAGCAGAATGCCTCATCTTTCTCCGGCGGATCTTCCTTATTGGTATGTGGATATTATCCCATCATTGAAAGAACTGTAGTTCAAGATCCATCTTGAACTTTTTGACGATTCTCCTCTTCAATTTGGCATTCCCAGAATAGTGGACCAAAGTTACTCAAAATGGTCAATACCAGTCCATTTCAGCTCATTAACGACTATTTCCTCATGTACATGTGATTGCTGGACAATGAGTAAGGAAGACCACAGAAGAATTGATGCATGTGAGTTGTGGTGGTGGAAAAGAATATTGAAAGTACCATGGACTGCCAAAAGAACAAAGCACTTTGTGTTGGCAGAAGTACATCTGAAAGCTAGGACGGTGAGACTTCATCTCTCACACTTCTGACAGGTTAGTAGGAAGTATCAGTCCCTGCAGAAGGACATCATGCATGGTATAGTAGAGGGTCTAGGAAAAGGGGGAGCCTTAATGAGACAGACCAACAGACTGGCTGTAGCAATGCACTCAACAGAGCAAGGATTTTGAGGATGGTGTAGGACCAGGCAGTGTTCACTCTGTTACCTAGGGTAACTGTGAGTGAGAACCAACCCAACAACTTCGAACAATGCCTAAAACAGCAGCCTTCAAGTGTTCCATTTCATTTCTAACAGTATTCAATTTTCTTAGATTCATACTTCAGACATTCTAGATTCCAGTTCCACCACTCATCTGTCAGTCTGTCGTACTGTGGGGGCTTGGGTGTTGCTATGATTCTGAAAGCCATGCCCCAGTATTTCAAATCCCAGTAGGCTCACCCATGGTGGACAGGTTTCAGCTGATCTTCCAGATGAAGACACACTAGGAAGAAGGAGAGATGGGCTACTTCCAAATATGTAGTAACTGAAAACCTTATGAATAGCAGTGGAACACTGTCAGCACCAGAATATTAAATACTGAAACTGAAGAGCACTAGAATATTGCCAGATATAGCGCCGAAAGATGAGCCCCTCAGGTTGGAAGGCACTCAAAATATGACTATGAAAGAGCTGCCTCTTCAAAGTAGAGCTGACTGTGATGACATGAATGCAGTAAAGTCTTCGGGACTTTCATTTGTTGATGGGGCACAATTCAAAATGGAGAGAAACAGCTGCAAACATCCATTAATAAACGAAAGATGGTATGTATGAAGTATGAATCCAGTAAAATTTGAAATTGTCAAAAATGAAATGGAATGCATAAATATCAATATCTTAGGCATTAGTTAGCTGGAATGGATTGGTGTTGGCCATTTTGAATATGACAACCACATGGTTTACTGTGCCAGGAATGGAAAATTAAAGACGAATGGTGTTGCATTCATCATCAAAAAGAAAATATCAAGATCTATCTTGAAGTATAAGGAGCTCTGGTAGCGTAGTGGTTACGAATCGGGCTGCGAACCTTAAGGTCAGCGGTTCGAAACTACCAGCCGCTCTGCGGGAGAAAGAGGAGGCTTTCTACTCCCGTAAAGATTTACACCCTCGGAAACCCTGTACAGGGTCGCTATGGGTCGGAACCGACTCAACGGCACTTAACAACAACAACAACAACATCTTTAAGTATAACGCTGTCTGTGATAGGATAATATCCACATGCCTATAACGAAGATCAGCTAATACCACTATTATTCAAATTTACTTACCAACCACTAAAGCCAGTGACAATGAAATTGAAGAATTCTACCAGCTTCTTCAGTGTGAAATTGATCAAACATGCTATCAAAATGTATTTGGTAATTACTGGCAATTGGAATGCAAAGGTTGGAAACAAAGAGGAAGGATCAGTAGTTGGAAAATATGGCCTGGGTGACAGAAATAATGCTGGAGATCACATGATGGAATTTTGCAAGGCCAATGACTTCCTCATTGCAAATACCTTTTTAAAACAACATGGACCTCACCAGATGGAATACACAGAAATCAAATTGACTACATCTGTGGAAAGAGATGGTGGAAAAGCTCCATATCATCAGCCGAAATAAGGCCAAGGGCAGACTGTGGAACAGACCATCAATTGCTCACATGCAAATTCAGACTGAAGCTGAAGAAAATGAAAACAAGTTCATGAGAGCCAACATATGACCTTGAACATATCCCACCTGAATTTAGAGATCATCTGAAGAACAGATTTGATGCATGAGACACTAAAGACCAAAGACAAGAAGAGTTGTGGATGACAACAAGAACATCATACAGGAAGAATCAAAAGGTTATTATGACAAGAAAGAAGGAAAAGGCCAAAATAGATGCCAGAAGAGACTCTGAAACTCACTCCAGCATAGAGATGTTAAAGCAAATGCAAGAAATGAAGAGGTAAAAGAGCTGAATAGAAAATTTCAAAGATCAGTTCAAGAAGACAAGCTCAAATATTATAAGCAAATCTGTAAAGACCTGGAGTTAGAAATCAAAGGAAATATTCAACATTTGTCCAGCTGAGGGAACTTAAGAAAAAATTCCAGCCTCGACTTGCAATATTAGGATTCTACGGGCAAAATACTGAATGATGCAGAAAGCCTCAAAAGAAGATGGAGGGAATACACACAGTCACTGTACCAAAAATAAATGGTCAATGCTGTGGAGAGATGGAGCGGCTGGGGACTCTGGGCTCAGGGAGGGAGAGGGGCTGTGTACTGACAGCCAGGGCGCAGGCTTGCAGGGTGTACCCTTTGGTTGTTTGATGATGCATAGAGGGGATGGTAATCATGGCAATGAACGAAATACAATAGGATGAGTGTAAAGCTGATGTCCTCCCATGTAAACTATCACTCAATTCACACTAAAAACTCAAATCATAATAATAAATAAATGGTCAGTGTTCAACCATTTCAAGAGGTGGCATATGATCAAGAGCCAATGATCCTGAAGGAAGAAGTTCAAGGTGCACTGAAGACATTGGCAAAGAACAAGGCTCTGGGAATGATAGAATACAAATTGCAATCTTTCAACAAACTGATACAGCACTGGAGGCATTCACTCACCTATGCCAAGAAATTTGGAAGACAGCTATCTGGCCAACTGTCTGGAAGAAATTCATATTTGTATCCTTTCCAAAGTGAGGTGATACAATGGAATGCGGAAATTATCAGAAAACATTATTAATATATAATACAAGTAAAATTTTGCTAAAGATAATACAAAAATGGCTGTAACCATACATTAATAGAGTATTTCCAGAGGCTCAAGTTAGATTCAGAAGAGGACGTAGAACGAGGGATATCACCGCTGATGTCAGATGAATCTTGGCTGGAAGCAGAGAATACCAGAAAGATGTTTACCTATATTTATTGACTATACAAAGGCTTTCAATTGTGTGGATCATGACAAACTGTGGACAACATTGCTGAGAACGGGTATTCTGGCACATTTAATTAGCTCATAAGGAACCCATACATAAAACAAATGCAGATGTTCGAAAAGAACAACACTTAATGGTTTAAAATTAGGAAAGGTATACACCAGGGTTGTATTCTTTCACCATACTTATTCAATTTCTATGCTGAGTAAATAATTCAAGAAGCTGGATTATATGAAGAAGAATGTGGCATCCGATTGGAGAAAGACTCATTAACAACCTGAGATATGCTCATGATACAATGTTTTTGCTGAAAGCAAAGAGGACTTAAAACACTTACTGATGAAGATCAAAGACCACAGCGTTCGGTATGGGTTACACCTCAATGTAAAGAAACAAAAATCCTCACAACATCCATATAAATGGAGAAACGATTGAAGTTGTCAAAGACTTCATTTTGCTCGAATCCACTATCAACACTCATGGAAGCAGCAGTCAAGAAATCAAATGACATTAGGCAAATCTTCTGCAACAAGACCTCTTTAAAGTGTTGAAGAGCAAAGATGTCATTTTGAAGATTAAGATGCATCTGATCCAAGCCATGGTATTTACAATAACCTCATATGCATGCGAAAGTTAGACGGTGAATAAGGAAGACCATAGAAGAATCGATGCATTTGAGTCATGTTGTTGGAGGAGAATATTAAGAGCACCATGGACTTCCAAAAGAACAAACCAATCTGTTTGGAAGAAGTACAGCCAGAACGCTCCTTGGAAGTCAGAATTTTTCAGTTGTGGATTTTCCATCTACTTGGACATATTATCAGGGGGACCAGTCCCTGGAGAAGGATATCATATTTGTTAAAGTGGAGGGTCAAAGGAAAAGAGGAAGATGCCAACGAGATGGACTGGCACAGTGGCAGCAGCAATGGGCTCAAATGTAGCAACGATTGTAAGGTTTCGGTCTATTGTGCAGAGGGTCACTGTGAGACAGCACCAACTCAATGGCACCTAAAACCAATGTTCCAGTTACTAATGGGTGTTTGCACCTGCTTCCTTTCATTTTGAATCATGCCATAGTAGAAAATGAAGGCTTTGCCCATGACATCACCAAGGTCCACTTTACTTTGAGGAGGCAGCTCTTCGCCACTTGTATTTTGAGTGCCGTCCACCCTGCAGGGCTCATCTTCTAGCACTACATCAGGAAATGTTCTGCGGCTATTCATACGGCTGACACTGGCCAAACTTTGCAGACCTATATCACCAGGTCCTTTTTCCCAGTCTTTCTTAGCCTAGACTCGCCAGTGAAACCAATCCTGGCAGTTGAAATACCGGTGGCATAGCTTCCAGCATCACAGGGACACTCAAGCCACCACAGTACAATAAACTGACAGATGAAAGGTACAGATTCATAGTATGGACAATCACACCACCTAGAGAGACACACACCATCATTCCAGTAGTAATGCCTCCATCAACTGACAGACCCACCTGTCATAGGGACACACAAAGTTTTATTGGCACACAGTCACACCCATTTACTATTAAAAGGGCATATACACAGCCCCTTGTCCCCACAAAAATCATAACAACACTGACACACACAGACACAGTTACCCCTGCATACAATACAATCAAGACCCTGTCCCAAATTCAGGTCACAATCTCAACACAGTCATGTGATACACCCCAGGGCACCCAAACATAGGCAAAAATGCATATGTACACACATACAGTGTGGCTACACATAGTTCTATACACACAGTGGAAACCACATCCACAAGACACACACGTGATCCTATATAGGGCAGCAAATGTGTGTTTTTTTTTTAAGAGTACGACAGGAAATATTTTCAGCTTTGCTGGTCTTACAGTTTCTTTTGCAACTACTCAACTATGATTTATAGTACAAAAACAGCCATGAATGACAGTAAATACGTGGGCATTGCTGTATGCCAATAAAACTTTATTTATAGTAACAGGCGACAGGATCAGGCCAGCACCTGATCTAGTTCAAACCTCACCAGGGACAAATGGGAAACTGAGACCCAGAGAGGATCAAGAGTAGGTCCCCATTGCATAATGAGTCAGGCATCCACCCCGCTGCCTCTGAAAGGGGCTTCTGGTGGACTGGAAGCTGAAGCCTACAGGCCAGGGGCAGGCCATCTGTCTTAGGGTGGGGACTCACCTTGGGTCTCCTCCAGGGCTGCCTGGCTCTCCAGCTGCCCAGCCTGCAGTGCCCGGCGGAGCTGCATCCGGATGATGTCGATCTTGGTCTTGCTGTCCTGCAGCATCTGCTGGGCGGTCAGCAGCAGCTTGCGGTCCTGGAGGCAGAGACAGCCTGTAAGGGGGAGGCTAGGCAGCTGGAGCTGGACCACAGGCCCTTCTTCCACACTCTGTGTGTTGGGGTGTGTGTGTGTGTGTGACAGTTTGTACATTCACAAGTTCCACAGGTTCCTGGGTGTAGTGATGCAATACACAGGTTCCAATCCTGAATCAGCCATTTTCCAGCTGGGTGACCTCAGGCAAGCCACTCAACCTGGCTGGGCTTCAATTTCCTCATCTGCACAATGGGGATGTGAATAGTACCGATCCCAGTGGACCAAGGACTGAAGATGCAGAGCTGAGCCAGGCCCTGCACACATCAGGTACTATAGTTAGTGCTTGGGATGTCACACATCTGGCTCCGGGGCTGGGGTCGCCCTGACGGCAGCATGTGGTGAGTCTCTGAGCGACTAGGGGGTGTGAGACAGTGTGCAGGAAGCAAGGGGCTATGTTTGGGATTCAAGGTATGGTCACAACCAGACAAAGCCCAGGACCCTGTGTGTGTTTAGGTATGAGAATTAGCTGTGGAGTTTCCCATCTATTTTATGCTGTGTTTCTGTTCATACAGGACGAGTATCTAGTCCAAGAATATTCAATGGGGGTCATATCATTCCCCACCCCATGCCCCCCAAAAAAAGCCAAACTCATTGCCACTGAGTCAATTCTGACTCATAGTAAGAATTGTCCCATCAGACAAAGGAGAACTGTCCCATAAGATTTCCTAGGCTGTAATATTTCAGTTTGGAGGTTCAAATTCACCAGCTATTCCTTGGAAACCCTACATAGGTTCACGTTGAGCTGGAAATGACTCAATGGCACTTAACAACAACAACAATCTTTATGGGAACACATTGCCAGGTCTTTCCTCCCACCTAGCACTTGGTGGATCCAAACCAACAATCTTTCCATTAACCACTGTACTACCAGGGTTCCTCAAGTCATTCCCATAGGACTAGAAATTAGACAGACAGGAACAAAAACATTTACACGTTCCATGTACAAAGCATAGCTATCCATACAGTACAAGAGTAGAAACATAGTTCATCTACAAGACTGAAATTTTATGGCCTATATTTGTACATATTAAACCAATGAAGGTTTTGTTGTGTATATTTTCACTGCAATTACAAAAAAAAAAAAAAAAAAATTCATGGGTGCTTTTTGAGAAAAAGCCAAAAACAAACCCATTATCATTGAGTTGAATTCGAACTCATAGCAACCTACAGGAGAGAGCATAACTACCTCGTGGGATTTTCAAGGCTGCAAATCTGTGCAGAAGCAGAAGACTGCATCTTTCTTCTCCAGAGGAGCTGGCGGGTTCAAATCACTGACTTTTTGGTTAGCATCTGGGCGCTTCACCACTGCACCACACATGGGTGGTGTTCAGACAAAAACTTACACACCCGTGTCCACAGCAAAATGGTTCACAAGAGCCAAGAGGTGGGAACAACTCAAGTGTCCACCAATGGATGAATGGATTAACACCACAGTGAACTGTCTGAGCAAAAAGTGAATGAAGCAGTGGTACCGTGTAGACAAACCTTGAAGACATTATGCTCCAGGAGAGAAAGCCAGACACAAAAGGCCATGCATCCTATGAGTCCGTTTATATGAAATGGTCAGAATAGGCAAAGCCATAGAGACAGAAAGGAGATGAGACACTGGCAGGGGCAGGGGGTTGGGTGGGGTGGATGGGGAGTTCCTGCTTTAGGGATACTGAGCATCTGTTTGGGGGAACAAACTTCTGGAAATAGTGGTGATGAGTATCCCTAATGACACTGAATTGTTCTCTATTAAATGACTGCTGTTGTATTGTTAAATGCTCTTGACTCACAGCAACCCTATGTAGTGTATCTGAGGAGCGTCTGGTGGATTTGAACCACCAACCCTGTGGCTAGCAGTCCACTGCTCATCCTACAGCACCACACCAAAACTCCTTTAAATGATAACAATGTTAAATTTTATACTACGTACATTTTGTTGTTGTCATTGTTAGCTGCCATCAAGTCAGCACCAAAATTTTCATGGGGCAGAATGGTTAGAAAAAAATGTCTAAAAAGGTTCCTTGCTGGGAGGCAGATCATGAAGGAAAGGTTGAGAAACAGCTAGTCAGATCCAAGGGTGTGTTTTTGTCAGTAAATGCTTTTTATTAGCATTTATTACATGCCTGGTATATACCAGGAGGCTTCAAAAAGTGAATACAAGTCATGGAAAAGGAATGAAAAGATAACAGAATTTTTCTACAAATATTTTTAAGCCCCCTCGTCTGTATTGCCTCTGAGTTGGTGAGGTCTAACATTCAGTGGAGTCCGGGTGTGGCGCTGTAGAATAAAGCCCTGGACTGCAAGTTGATTTGAACCACAAGGTCAGCAGTCCAAACCCACCAGCTGCTCCTTAGAAACCTTGTACAGCGTTGCTATGGGTTAGAGTCGACTTAATGGCACTTAACAATAACAATAAACAGAACTGTGTTCAGACTTCCAGTCTCTAGCATATCCACCAGGAGACAGGTGGTGAGTGCCTAAGAACATGCCAACACACAACCATCAATTAAATATAAATATAATGACACCATAGCTCTGATAACGTAGTGGTTATGAATCAGGCTGCGAACCGCAAGGTCAGCAGTTCGAAACTACCAGCTGTTCCACGGGAGAAAGATGAGGCTTTCTGCTCCCGTAAAGATTTACAGCCTCGGAAACCCTGTGCAGGGTCGCTATGGGTCAGAACCGACACCGTGGCATAACCACATAACCACCAACCACCACAGTGTCTCGGAGAAAAGAGACAATTTCAGCTTACACGAAGAAACAAGACAGTGCCTCAAACAAGTGACCAAAATACAGTCAGAAAATATAATATCAGAAATGGTATCAGAATTACTTGATAAGGAATTTTAAAGGGCGCTATAGGGTAACACCAAGGTTGGTGGCTCAAACCCACCAGCTGCTCCTTGGAAACCCTTCACAGGGTGGCTATGAGTCAGAACCGACTTGATGGCACTTAACAACAAGAACATTTAGGTACCTTCAATTAATTTTGAGAAAAATTGATGAAAGTAAAGAAAACACACAAAAGTATTAGCCCTAGCCCAACCCTAACCCCTAACACTGTAGGATAAGCACTGGTCAGCAGTTCAAATCCACCATTCTCTTCTCGGAACCAACTCGATGGCACACAACCACAAAAGATGCAGTGGTGTTCAGTTGAAGATCCATGCCTTGTCATGGAGCTGGGTCATCTGACTGCAAGAGTGCTCCACTGGGAACCCCCAGGTCCTGACCTGGGTACCCGCTTGCCAGGTCACAGAAGCTGAGAACTGGGACCCCCTGAGGAATCCTTACCCAAAGATAGGTATTCCTGGGTGCTTTAATAAACCCAGAGCAACAACTTGGGGTGAGAAAATAGGACACACTAGGTGGTTCTAGCTATAAAAAATGTAAATGAAAATCATTGTTGTCAAGTCAATTCCAACTCAGGTGACCCATCTGGTAGAGAGTCCAATTGTGTTTCATACGATTTTCTTTTTTTTAATTACAATCCTCTCTGCGACATTTCTCCCACTTCTTTCCTGTGGCTCCCCATTTACATCTTATATTTCATAAATGAAAAAGGCAAAAATATCTGGTGTACACTTGAAAACACATGGTCATCTAAATGTCCAAATTAAATGTCCACGTTCTATCAGCCAGCCTCCTGTCCACAAGCACTCAGCCTTTCTAAGTCCATGGGCCTAGAGCCCGTAACTGCTCTGTCTCTCCCTGCCACGGACGCTGCTTTTCTAGGCAGGGACCTCACGCTCCACTCATGCCCTTATTCCTTAAGAGTTTCTTGGGTAGTTCTATAGGATAAGTACTGAACTGCTAACTGTAAGGTTGGTGGTTCAAACTCACCAGCTGCTCCCCAGAAACCCTTCACAGGGTCATTATGAGTCGGAATCAACTCAACGCACTTAACAACAATGTATATTTAGTAAAGCGCATGAGTTTTAGGTGCACAGCCTAGTGGATTTTTACTCACACCGCCCAAAATATAGAACACTGACCATCACCCAGAAGGTTCCTTCATGCCCCGTCCAGTCAATACCCAGAATCCCACTGCTACAAATTAGTTTTGCCTGGTTTTGAGCTTCCTATGGAGTCCTGGTGTGGCTCTGTGGGCTAATGCGTCAGACTGCAAAGTTGTTTGAACTGCAAGGTCAGTGGTTCAAGCTCACCAGCTGTTCCTTGGAAACCCTATACAGGGTCGCTATGGGTCGGAATCGACTCGACAGCACTTAACAACAACAACAACATGGTTAGAATTGGAATCCTGGTATGGCACTGGACTACTGATCACATGGTCAGCAGTTCAAACCTTACCAGACACTCCTTGGAAACCCCAGAGGGTCACAGCTTTCAGTGGGGGCAGCTTAAAGTGGCCCCCGCCCTCTGCCCCCAAGCCCTTCGTGTCCATGTGAGTGAGTATATACGGGTGTGCACACATACAAGAGGTACCTTGGTGCTGCCGTGGCTGTACGTCTGGATCATGTTCTCTGCCCCCTGCTTCACCTTCAGCTCAATGGCCAGCTGCTTCTCCAGGCCAGCTACAAGGTTCAGGTTGGTGGCCAGGCTGGCTGTGCTGCCCGCACCCGGAGACTGGGGGTCATCTGTAGGGGTAGGGGGAGAGAGTCACCTCAGCCCTTACCTTGGCTTGCTCAGTGGGATTTTGTCCTAACTCCCAGGATCTACCCTCAGCCTAGCCTGCACATTCCCCTCCACCGGGGTCCAGGAGAACAAGCAGATAGGCAGGAAGGGCAAGCCAGCATCTGGAAGGTTCCAAACACCCCGGCCCTCCCAGGGAAGCCCCCTCAGGGCTGGGGACAGGACCCAGCATGACAGCACTCAGGCAAGCCTCCAGGTGTAAGTTGGTAGGCGTGACTCCATGTGGGAATTCACAGTCATTGACATGGCTCTGTGTGATTCTGTTTGTGAACCACAGCACGTGGGCCCATCTGAGGTGTCAGAATGGCTGTGTGGGATTCCAGATGTTGGGGTGACTCTGCTGTTCCTGACTGGGGACACAGCTATGCGCTCCAGTCTCTGGGTACTGGTATGACTCTGTGAGTCTGGGTGTTGATAGAGTCGACTGGATGGCTGTGTGTGTGTGAATCTCTGGAGACTGGTGTGACTCTCTCCAGGTCACATGGGACTGGATGTGATTCTGGATATGCACTTAACCCCGCCCTCTAAACAGGAGGGCTGACATGACGGCATCTTCTCCAGGCATCCAGTCCATGCGGGTGGAAGGATCCGGTGTTGGTGTCTCAACAAGGCTTACGGCATCGTGACTGTACAGTCTGACTGTTAGTGGACTGTGCAGGTCCATACATGCTGGATGGTTAGGTGTGGGTCTCTGGATATGTGCATGACAGTGTATAAATTTGGAGTGTTGTCCGGGTGTTGGTGAGACATATGAGTGTCTCTAGATAGTGATGTGAGGTATGTAGCATTAGGTGTAGTCAGGGGTTGGTGAGATGGTACGTGAGAGTCTTTAGATGTTGAAATAATGGGTGTGAGACTCTTTGGTATTGTCCAGGTGTTGGTGTGGTGGGATACGAGAATCTTGGGGTATTCATGTGACAGTGGATAAGCCTTTGGGTGCTGGCTGGTGTGAGTGAATCTCAGGCGGCTAGTGTGACTGGATATGAAATCCTCTGTGTGTTCATATGACAGTGTAGACATCTTTAGGTGTCATTCAGGTGTTGGTGTGACTGTGTTTGTAATGTCAGGATGTTGGTAAGTCTTTGGGCACTGTCTGTTTGTTGGGGTGACTGTGTGAGACACTCTGAGTGCTGATAGCATGCCTGGGTGTGGGTGTGTGGGAGACCCTGGGTGCTGATAGCATGGACGCCCAGGGGTGGGTGTGTAGGAGACTCTGGGTGCTGACAACATGCCTGGGTGTGGGTGGGTGGGATGCTGTGGCTATAGACAGCTTCACATCTGGGTAAGACTGAGTGGTGGCAGTGTGGATTTTGCTCTTTGCTCTAACTGTACTTGGAGACTCAGAGTCCCTAGAGCCCCTCGTCCCCAAGGTAGCCCAGCTCACCACGGACAGCAGCCGCAGGGTCAGGCAGTACCACGTGGGCATGCAGCTCCTGCAGCTGTTGGTGCAGTAGGTCGAGGCGGCGTGAGGATCCACGCAGCAGCAGCTCCACGGGGCCCAGGCTGCGGCCCAGGTCGGTGGTGGCCCGTCGCAGGTTCTCGGCACCCTCCTTCAGCTTCAACTCCTTTCGGATCTCCCGCCGCAGCCGCTCCCGCTCCAGCTCCAGCTGCTGCTGCACCCCGGGGGCTGCCAGATCCGCCCCCGCCAAGCCCAGCTGCTCCAGCAGGGACCAGCTTCGAGGCTCGCTCTGTGGGATGGAGCAGGGTTGGTGGGGCATGGCTCTGGGCTGAAGGCCACCTCAGTCCAACATCCTTGAGTCCTCCCAGATTGGGAGCCCCCTCCCCCAAAGATAAGACCTGTTCTACAGCCTGGGAGGTGAGGTTAGGGCCCTATCCCTGCTTCCCACTCCCTCAAACCACGACAGCCAAAGGCAGGGCCTTCTCTTGCCTCCATCCCTTCAGACTAGGGACCTTCAGACAGGGACAGTTCTGCCTTCATCTACTCCTCCTGCAGGAAGATTCTGGAAGGCAGACTCCATAGCCTCACTTCTGCCCACAAACTAGGGGTTATTGAAAGTAGTCTTGGTTTCCCTCTGCTTTCCCCCAAACTATGAAGTTCCAATAAGACCTTGTCTCTTTTCTACTATTTCCCCCAAAGCAGGAGATCCTCAGGCAGAGGATCTAGTACTGTCCCCCAAAACTAGGGGCTGTCAAGTGTATGCCTGACCTTCCCTCTACAATCCCCCCCAAACTAGAAGACCTCGAAGGTAGGCGCCATTTCTTGTCTGATGTCCTCTCAAAATAGGAGGTCCCAAAGGAAGGGCCTGCTTGCTCTCTGATGTCTCCCCAAATTAGGAAGTCTTCAAAATAGGCCTGATTTCTCTTGTGCTGCCTCCCAAATGAAAAGGTGCTGAGGTGAGGCTGTCTTCCCTCCCCTGTTGTCCCATCCTAAGGTCTCAAAGGTAGACCCGCCTCTCCCAGCAGCCCTTCAAACTAGGAGTTTCCGGAGCACAAGCCTCACCTCCTTCCTTCTCTACCCGCCCCAACCTGGAAGCCCGGAAGGGCCCCAAATGTTTTCTTCCTTCAAACTGAGAGCTCAGAGGGCAGGGCCCTATGTCCTCTCCTCAGTCCAAAATAAAGAGGTATGGAGGATAGGGCCCAGTCTCCTGCCCACCCCACCTGTCCTATTTGGGGTCCTCTTCCACCAGCCCACCAAAGGAACCCAGCCCCCACCTCCAGTTCCTGGTCCTTAGGGGGATCAGGCTCCGCCATCCTGGGTCCAGGGTGAGGGCCCCGCCTTCTTCCTGAGCCTCAGCCCTGTCAGGGCCTCTTGATACCACTTCCTCTTTCCTGCCAGCTCCCAGCACCCCCTGCGGTAGGCCAGCTCCAGGGCTCGGGGGCATTCAGGGGAGCATCCCCTCAGCTCCCACACCAGGACCCAGCCCGCTTCCCAGGGGCAACCAGGAACAGCATGCACTCCCTGTCCAGTGAAGGTGCCCAAGGTACATGGGGGTGCGCACACTGTGCTCATGGCAAACAAGTACATTCAGGCTCCGGGAGCTGACTTGGCTGTGTACACGCGGAACACAGGCTCTCGTGTGTGCACACTCATTATATGGGGATACACAGCGGAGTGCACATACCCTGATCTACATGTCTATTCACAGAACAGCCTCACACGTATGTTCACTCCCACACCGATAGGTGTGTACATGGACCACAGGTTCCCAAACGTGTGTACATCCCCATACCTGCCCCCACTGAATGGGGGCACCAGTTGTACCTCTGAATGTGTACACAAGCCACTGCAGAACCTGTCCACGTGGACACAGCCCACATGCTCACACATATACCCACGTTCCTCACAACCCCACATCCTGCCCCTGCTCCCACAGGCCTGCTCATACCCTGCTAACGCCTCCACGTGTCCCTGCGGCCAGGCCTTCTCACCCCGCCCCTTGTCCCCGGCTTCCCCTTTGGGGTCAGCATAGCAAGTTCTGCAGAGGCAGGGCCCCTTCCTGCAGGCATAGGCTGTTTGACTTCCTGCTTCCTCCTAGTCCAGCCGTCCACCGTGGCTGACCCAGGTCTGAGGCTAGGGCGCCTGGTTGGCCCAGGGGGTCTACCTAAGGGCAACACATTGGGTTAGGGGGAACAGTTCTGAGGGGCTGGGATAAGGATGACCAAAACTAGCAACCTGGAAACACACACAGCACAAAAAACCACTAATGCTCAAATACAGTTTTTAATAATAGTTACTAGAAGTTCCACCCAGGTCAACTAATGCAACCCTACAAGGTAGGCACTATTTTTATCCCACTCTCTAGATGAGGAAGTTGGCCAGGATTTCAAAAGGAGCGAGAACCCAGCATCTGGACATTGGCTAAGTGTCCCACCTTTTGCTCTGAGAACCCATTTTACAGATAAAGAAAGCTGGTGTTGGCTGCTAAACTGCAAGGGCAGCTGCCACCAGATAAGGGTTTCCTGCAAGCCAAGAGATCCTGCCGACCCTTGACAATAACCCCGAGCAACTGCCATTGCTTTCCCACTTTATAAGTATGGAAACTGAGGTTCAGAGAGGTAACAGCAGTTCTCAACCAGGAACAAAGTTGTCTCACCACTGAGGACACTCAGCAAATTTGCCTCACAGCTTGGATCCTATTGGCATTCAGTGAGTTGAGGTGAGGGATGTTGCTAAGCATCCTGTCCAGCACAGATCCAGTCCCAAATGCTACGAGTGCCGAGACTGAGAAACCCTGGGCTAAAGGACATGGACTCAACCATGGGACATTGCTGTGTCTCAGTAATGACCTAAGAGCAGCCCATCTGTGGACAGGCCCCATCTCTAGCTCTCTCCGCTGTGAAGACCCTTTATAGCCCCATTTTTCCGATGGCAGACCTAGGCTCAGAGAGACGAAGGCACTGGGCCCAAGACATACAGTGAGGAAGTGACAGCAATCACATGCCCCCTCCCCAGCAGGCAGAGCAGGGGTACACAGCCAGGAGCACGGCCAGCTCATACTGGGAAAGTCCAGGCAGAGAGGAGGAGCATCACTCTGTGTCCATCTCCAGTGGCTGAGGCCTGAGAAGAGGGAGGGAAGTGGGCCTGGCCTACTAGGTCCTCCTCCCTGGGGTGACTCACTCCTTTCCAGGGACAAGGGGTCACCTAAGGGCCAACAAGGCATACCCAGGAATCAGGAGCCAGGCTTGACCTCAGAAAATCTCTGCTTCCCCTCACCCTAGAGCAGGAGGCTCCAGGCCCAGGGCACCCACTGTCCAGCACCCCCTCTCCCCAGAGCAGCCAGGGACCGAGACCCCTGTGTCCGGAGATTTCAATGCCTTGGGCGTTTCCGGAATCTGGACAGGACATCCGTTTGCCGGACACAGAATAGACAGGCACACGTTGGGAGAGACAGAGACACAGGGCAACAGCCCAGGCAGCCACGAGATGGGGATGGCTGGGAAGGGGTAAAAAGCTAGACCGGGCACGACTGATGTCTTACTGCAATGATTACAATCTCCATTCTGGTCATGTGTGTACACATCAAGCACATGCACGCATGGGGTAGGGGGCTCCTACACAGCCCTCCCTGGGCCAGTGGGGGGGGGGCAAAGCACCCCAGGCCACACCCACCCCAAGGTCTGACCTTGTGTGATCGGCAACACCAGATACGCCCAGCTCCTCGACAGGGCTGGCAGGCCATCAGCAGGACTGAGGGAGTGTATCATAGGGGGTCACCGGGAAGACACAGAGGGGACAGGGCAGGTGCAGAAGGAGACAAGAACCAGTTACATAGAGAGCACAGGACAATCGATTGGAAGGTGAGGCACTAAAAAGGGCACAAGAGGCACAGGGCACATCTCAGATTTGGGTTCTTGAATCAAAGGTCGGAGGTCAACCTGGCCCTAATTGTACCTGATGGAGAAGGTGAGTTCAAGGCAGTGATGTCCTCAAGGTGGCACAGGGAGACCAGGGCAGAGCCCGGCTGGATAGTAGCTCAGTGCCAGTCACGAGTGTGTGTGTATACAGGTGACCCAGCCCTGATACCCACAGAGGGCAGGTAGGATCCCAGGTATGGGAGCATCCCCTGTCTGGTGACATAACACAACCTGCTTGGGATAAGGTCCCGCCCCACAGGCCAAAGGTTGGGTGTGGGGGTCCCCTGTCCCTAGACTTAATAAGGTGACTCGGGCACTTCCGCCAACAGGTGCCAATCTGGGTGGCGTCGGGACCATAGTAAATCTCAGTCCCCGGGCAGGGCCGCTGGAGCTTTGTTGTGCGGGGGAGGGGCAGAGGCCGGGTGGCATCCTCCCTCCCGGGCTCCCGGCCAGGCACCTGTCCCAGGTGGAGCAGCACCCGCTGGGAACCAAGTGCTAGGGAGGGGGGCAGATGGGGGGGCGACAGTCACCGGGGCTCACAGCCAACCACACACACCCGAAGTCGCGCCTCCACCGCGCCCCCTCGGATTCTCTGGGCGGGGCCGAGCTCAGGGTGTCGCGGGGCTCACGGTCCTCCCGTCCCCTCCCTGTCCGTACCTCCACCTGCAGAGAAGGGGGCCGCGCTGGCTCCGGGGTCTCGGCCCGGGAACGGAGCGCCAGACGCTCGGAGGCCCCGCCCCGCCCCGCCAATCTGGGGGGCTCCGGCGGCCGACACCCGGGGTCCCGGAGCCGTCCGGCAGCCCCACCGCAGCCGACGCAGGTGCGCCTACCTGCACGGTGTCGCTGGCCATGTCCTCGCGCCGCCCGCCAGGGGTCCCCGCGCAGGGAGGGGCCGGCAGAGGAGCGCGCGTGAGCCCGGGTGGGGCGCAGAGGGCGGCGCGGCGCGACCCTTGGCGCGCAGTCCGCGGCCCGTTCGGCCTGCTTGGCTCCGGCCCGCACGGCCAGGCCGCCGCGTCCGCGCGCCGCGCCCTCGGGCCCAGCGGCCCGCCGCGTCACGTGACCACCGAGGTCGGCGCCCGGGGAGGGGGCGGGGCGAGGGGGCGCGGCTCCCGGCGGCCCCTGGGGCTTCGGGGTCCGGCCTCCTTGCCCCGCCGCTGGTCCTGCTCGCTGTCCCAGCCGTGGGAATCCCCGTTGGAGCGCCCGGGAACTTCCCCGCTTCACCTGAAGCACTCGGTGGGCAGTGTGCAAACTGAGAAGGGTCCTTGGGCCTCCCGGGAATCTTTCACAACCCCAAAACAACAATAACAACTATCCTAACTCTTGATTGCAAATTCAGGTCTTTTGGACCCTTGGCCCAAGTGTCCCCTGTTCAAGGGCATGGGAGTTTCACCATTGTCTGGAGACGACCAGGGGGTTCTGGGAGTTCAAATCTCAGTGACTCGAGGACGACCCAAACCCCTGAGGATCCTCAGTATTTACCCACCTCAGGTGGGGGGGGTGTCTGTAAAATTAAGTGAGATAGGAGTACATGCCAAGCGCTAAGAGCAGAATAAGCATTCAATAAATTCAATAAATGTTAGCTGGTGTAACTTTTAAATATTATTGTCATTGCTATTATTATAGAGGTTTGGAATCCCAGCGCATTCTCTGATTGGAGGCCCTGTCGACCCTGTGGCGGCTGAATATGTTTCTCCCTGTAAAGTGTGAACATTTCCTTGGGGGATAGATGGAGTCTGCATGGGACCCTATTTGCAGGTTGTTGTTCAGTGCTGAGACTCATAGCGACCCTGTATAGGGTTTCCAAGGAGCGGTTGGTGAATTTGAACCATCCATCTTGTGGTTAGCAATCCAGTGCTTATCCTATGTTGTTAAGTGCGGTAGAGTCAGTTCTGATTCATAGCGACCCTATATAGAGTTTCCAATGAGCGCTGGTGAGTTTGAACCGCTGACCTTGTGGGTTTAAACCGATCTTGCGGTCTGGTGCATTAGACCAACAATGCCACACCAGGGCTCACCATCCTATGGTGGTGGTGGTGGTTATGTGTCGTGGAGTCGGTTCTGACTTATAGCAATAGATGCCCCATAAATGCGTGTTGTGCCCTTGGGGAGGGCCCAGACCAGTAGATCTTCTCCGAGGTCCCAGGCTCTCGGCTCTCGGCTCCCGGCCAAGAGTCCTCCCTGGCGGCAGAGGCTGCACGTCTGGTGTACTCTCCCTATCCGCCCCTCCCCCGGGATCCCCTAGAACACGGAGAGCTACAGGAACCTTGGTTACACATGGCTCTGAGAGGTTTGGTGTCCCAGAGACCTAGGCACGATGTTTTTTCTCTTGTATTTTTTTGTTTTTCCTGTGAGCGAGTGACTGTCTGGGAATTTCAACAGAGAAAGAGAAGATAAAA